AACTGCTTCATGATTGATGAAATGGTTTCTTAACATCTAAGTTCCCCCCCAATACAATTTAAGACTGTTGAAGTTTGATTAAACTTTTGTACCAGTGTAAACGCTAAAAACCAGTGGTTTTGTTTTTCTTGTTTGTATAAGGAAATTTTTGGCTTGTTGCTGTCAGAATTTTCTGTTAAATTATGTGACTGTCCTTTAGCTAAAATACAGAGAAGCAGCTTGGGTTTTTTTTCTAGAATTTTGTATTAATATATATCTTTGAGCTTATGTTTGGTACTTGTACAGTATATATAATGGGAAAAAAGTGGTTTCTTAACACCTTTTTACTGCATGTAAAAATTGCATTATAATCATGAAATTCCATTTTATGTAAACGTAATATGTTATATGTAATAACTGTACCACTTCTCTAGGCTGAGGTTTATAATGCTATTTCTGTGTGCAACTGCTCCATGACAAACCAATACAACTGTGTAAATAACAGGCAAACACAATGTTAAAATTTAAACCTAGAATTTTAGGTGTATCAAGTCACAAAGTACAATTTTTGTAAATGTACTGTGTCATAATTTTTGTAACTAACACTGCACTGAAATTTATCACTCAAAAAATCTCATACAACCAATATGGTGGCAGCAACATGCCTGTAATTCCAGCACTCTTTGAGGATGAGCCAGGAAGATTGCAAATTGCAACACAGCCTGAATAACTTAGCAAAACCCTGTCTTAAATAAAAAATGGATGGGGATATAGCCCAGTGTGAAGGTTTGGGAAATCCCCCGTATTGTCAAAAAAAGAGAAACGGATACATAGAGATGTACAAAATTTATCATTTATTACTTTGAGTGTTAAGAGAAAATAAGGCAATATGCATTTACCCCATTTCCATAGAAGAGTTTGTATTGTGTCAATCACAGATTGCGTTCTGAAAACAAAGGACAAAACTCGGCTTTTCTGAATGTTTGGCTTTATTGACATAACATTTCTATTTGTTTGCATTAACATTCAAGATAAATGATTATAACAAAAATTTTGTACTACCTCTTGGAACTATACAAAGTTCTGTATGTGTTCCCTTAGTTGCATGACAATATTCAAGACAACTTTGTAAATAGAGAAACACAAATTTAACATCTAGTCTTTCTAGATGAATGGAGTCTCACAAAGTATAATTTTGTAAATAAGTCATAAATGTTTATGGCTTCATTGCTTTGTATTTTTTTGGAAATGAACTTACCAGCAGTTTCTTCTGATATGTGGCTCATCATTTTTTGATTTGCTCAGGGGAAGGACAGTTGTACTGTTGTATTTTCTGTTTTGAATTTTCATCTTAGAGAAGTGTTTTCCACATTTTCATTATTCATTAAAACTCAATTTGTACATGTTTTTGATTGGGCATTAGGTAGAGTTATTTATAGTTATTACAGGCAGTGTCTCAAGGGAAATTAGTTTCTACCTCTTTCAATCAACATAATTTTATACGTATTTGGCCTGCATGACAGCAGTGAAGAAAAATATGTAAATAACAGTTTTGAGTAAAACATCTAGATTTTCTAGATGCATGGGGTCTCAACAAGGTATAAATTTGAGAATATTTCATTGTAAAATATAAAATGACTCTTAAATGCTTTTTTAAAAAAAAACTTTGATACCTGGGAATAAAACTCATGACCTGTTGTTAGCCAGTTAGATCTTGTGAAGATGAGCTGTATGTATTTCCTGCCCAAAATTCTGTACTTCATGTCTCTGTAAAGTAAAATCTTGGTGCTTCTGTGTTTTAGGGACGATTAATAGATTATTTCCATATCTTATGACTATGATAACATTGGGATATATATTTTATCTTTAGAAAGAGGATATATGAATAAAACTTGAGATATCAAAGATTAGGAGATTTCTAAAACGATTGTTACATTGCTATGGTGTATGTAACCTTTCTAAATTTCCATCTTTCTAAGTTTCCAAGTATTTGCATTTTTATTACATTCATGTGTATATTAGTCATATATATGAGATACTTAATGATATGAATCTATCCCAGTTGCTTATTGCTCTATAAATTTTTGTAATAGCATTTTTATTTTTTACCTTGTAGGTATTTATCATGCATTGATATTTCTAAATGGACGGTAACAGTGTCAAACCTCACAACTACTTTCTCAAAATTTATACACCTGAGATACAGAATTGCGATGAGTGTTTGTCATTATGGGGTGTGATAATTAGAGGCATGTGTTACCCATGATAAGTAGGAGAATGTCTTTTAAAGACCTGTGTATTGATCAAAGTATAAATCAGGATTTTTTTGATTAGTAATTGGGGAAATGCCATCTATGATTTTATAAAATTTTTGAAAGATAATAGTTGGCCATTGGGCTATTGTTTAATATTTTAAAAATTTTTACAAAGAAAACAAATACTAGCACTCTTATCAATCAGTACAAGAAGTCACATGGACTATAGCATGTACAATATGAATGTAACAAACAGTCCGTTCCAGTGTAAAATGTATTATGTATTATGAATGGAAACATCAACTTGCTGTTCATAGATGGTGTGCATATGCCTCTGATTTTAAACTGCAATGTTTATATATAATGTTACATATAGGTAGTGACATTCTGACAGCTAAATAGTATTCATTGGTATTATAGTATTGGTATTTTTATTCTTTTTGAGAATTTGTATGTCAGTTAATCAGCAAAACATGTATACAAATCTTGGAAATTACTGCATGAAACCTAGGATGAATATGTCTGAATGGAAGATTGTATGGACGAATATGCCAAAGCTGTAAAAGAAACAATGTCCATGTTTTCATCATTCCTTATCAACACTGGGGACGTTTGTGATTGTCACATCCAACTTTGTGTTCATGTTGGTCATTACAAATGAATTTTCATTGGTTTCTGAAAGAGTGCACAACTCAAGACAATTGTGCAGGCGTGTTCCATGCAACAAAAAGTGCTGGATGACCTAAGGAGCGAAGGGAGAAGGTGGAGTTTCAGGTAAGTGCTCAGCAGTTCTATATTGTTTGATCAATAGATGAGTTGAAAAGATAAACTGCCTTGGGCATGATGGTATGTGTCTGTAAACACAATGCTTGTGAGACTGAGGATTACAGGAGGATTGCTGCAAGTTCGGTCTGCCCTGGGCTATATAATGAGTTCAGGGGCAGGTTGAACCGTTCTGTTTGAGGGTGTCTTAAAAAATAAATTTAGTTAAAAACTTCTGCACAGAATATATTTCTGAGTCATAAGGACACGATTGTGGCTGCTGAGTAAAATGTGCTGAAACTGTTTTCATTTGAGAAGTAGGAGGCACCCACACATTTTAGGGCTTGAACTCTTGTGTATAAGTACTAACATTGAACTGCATTTTCAGCCTCCATAATTTTATGTAACTCGGGAATAGAACACATTTACTATGGTTCTGTCTGAAGATTTCACCTCAGTTTTTTTAATGTTTTTTCCGTCATACAGAATTACAAGAAAAAAATGTCAGTATTTTTATCACTTGTGCCAGTGGTTTAAAGTCAAAAGGATGAGCTGATCATGATGGTGCCTGATTGTAATCCTGCCAATTGGTGTGAGGCTGAGGCAGGAGGAACCCTGAGTTGGAGGACAGCCTGGGCTATATAAACAAGTTCAAGGCTAGCTTCAGTTGCAAAGTGAGTCATCAATAAAAGTCAAAAATAGGAAAAACCTCTCAACAGGCATGTGTGTTGTTGAATCTAATCTCTTTCATATATTTCCAACCATCCCATGTTCATCCTAATTTTGTTTTTGTTTCTCAGCTGATGAAGATGAGAGACATTTGAAGCTAAACAGTATACTCACTGCTACCAGTGCTGTCTCCCATTGTCTCTTAATTAATGGGTCATAACTACAGACCATAGGTAAGGTGGATTTTCATGTTCAGAAGCAAGACAATTCCTAGGCTCAGGAAATTCTTACTGTTACAGAGATGGTCAGATGCCACTAAGTAAATTTCAGACAAAAATTTAGTCCTTCCATTTCATTGCAGTAGACTCCAAGCCTGGGATGTGTGCTCGTCAGAGGTATTACAGTAAAGTCATAGTGACATGTAGCAGATAGCATGGGAAATCATGAGTGTAAATTGTAATAAGAGATGACCAAGTATTTGATAGGTGGAATTGTGAAATTGACAGTAAGTTTGTTTTCATAAATAGACTGTTGTGGTGTGAAAAAGGTAAATTACATGTGCTAATACCAAGATAATTTTTATGACTGAAGTTGTAATGTTGACTCAACTATAAGATTTATTAATGAGGAATTTTATGTTACCGTTAACAGAAATTTCTAAAAATATCCTTGGACATCCCCTTACCTGGTACCTTAGCAGTTTCATCAGAATGGTATGTATTGTTCTTTTGTGATATAGGACCTTTGTTATCTTTATTCCCAAGAATGATATCTATTATCAATAAGTGCTATGTGTAGATGTATTTATTCAAGTGTTCTACACTCCCATTTTTTATATGGAATGCTTCCTTACTGTAAGGACCATTGAGTGTTCATTGGATTGGATGAGGGATGCTTTATTTAAATAGAAGTTTATTGATACAGCCTGGTTTTTATACTCGATGACGTGGTGGCAGATAATTTGTAAGAAATTATCTGGACGTTTTGTTGTAGTTTAGGAATAGCAAGGAAAACAATTTAATATAGGACATATAACGTACAGTATTATAAATGTCACTCAGAGTCAGACAGAAAAGTTCAATAAATCTGTCTGTACATCCCAAAGAATCGAGCTGAGGATTTGGATGCCATGGCAACATCCTGTGTGAATCCAGCTGAGGACCTTGAGCCCGTCCTGAGTCCCAACTGGAGACCTGGAGCCCATGACAGTGTCTGGTGAGGCCAAGCTCAGACATCAGTGGTAGAAGCCAGGAAGTCTGTTCCAGCCAGATGAAGGATCTGTACCAGTAGTCTGAGAGATCTGCATTGGAGCCAGGAACGGTGCTCAAAGTAAGGCCCAGAGGTTACCTGCAAAGTACCATAGCTATCCTGTGACCAGGCTCTAAGCTTCTCTGATAATAGCAGAGTTCATGTTAGGAGCCAGCGTGAAAGTTTCTCCAGGAGACTGCAGAGCACACCATCTTGCCCTGTGGAGCCAGGAAGCAGTGCTTAAAGTAAGGACTAGAATTCCCCCAAAGTGAAACGGCAAACCTCAGTCCTCTGATGATAACTTCCAAGTATGTATCAGGAAAGAAGCTCTATAGGCTCCTCCAGGAAAACCAACAGAAACAATTCTTAATGTCCAGTTTTCTATTTTTTATGTTGGCAGCAATTCTCTAATGGACCATACCCATCCAGCACCACGCTGATTTTGTTCAGCTGCATGTTATAAGGTGACTGTCAGGGATCAATCCACCACAAACAGTGATATAAAATAATCATTGTATCCTATCAAATCTGTGGGTCAGTGTATCACTGCCTGACATGAGTAATTCATCTTAGAAGTTATAACTCTAATTTTAATGTCATGAATTAGGAATGAGAATTCTTTAGGCTTTTCCCCCTGGAATATTCAGGCAGTTTTTTTTTAATAATCTGTGTAGACTCAAATAATTCTGTGTACAAATGAGTGACCCAGAGAGAAAAACACAGAGGGATTATGAGAATAATGTTGGAGAAATTAGTCAATATTAAGTATCCAAAAAGAAGATTAATATCTGGCCTCCCCCATATTAGAAAATTCCACAAGGAATTTTTGAAGATAGCATAAATGCTACAGTATCTGAGATTTTTCTGTTAGCATTTAAACTTTTCCCACTGTATCCTCAGGTGATTACTGAGAAGGAAACTACACCATTGCTGCTGCCAACACTTCATCAAAATTAAGATAGTCCTCATAATGGGCGGAGACTTCTCAGTTAATTGCCATTGATGGTCATTGCTGCACAGGAAAATTGGACTCAGTTCTACTTTTTGGAGAGACCCAAACAGTGTCCTTGCCGTGGATAATTCGTGCTCCCGAGAATGGTTTGCACTGTTGGATGGACTGAATGACGGAGCAGGCACTGCGACTGCACGCTACCAAAGGGGCTCCCGCGCTTCATCGCAGTGCTCCCATAAGTATGCAGTGCATGCGCTACCGTCACTTTTTAGTTGATATATTTAAAACTGAGCTAAACTAATTAAAGAATTGATGAGCCAGGGCTTTTTGAAACTATTGTAACTTAAGTAACTTTTTACATTCTAATTTTAATCTTCCTTGTTATTTACCATTAATGGGTTTTTGTCTCTACACTTTTGGCACTTTATCATAAGAAAAATTATACAAATCTAATCTTATCAGCTGTAAATTTTCTATGTAGTAAATATGCTTATGTAACTTTGGATTGTTTAGCTGGATTTGAAGCATTTCTGTGACTTAAGATCACCGTGGCAAACGGTGCAAAGTGAGTCAATCCAGTGTCCCGAAAACCGCAACCCTTAGATCTCAGTGACTGCAAACACAGTAAGACGGGGGAGCTGCTTTGTCAGTCTGAAGCTGTCTCACCCTCTGCCAGTGTAGTGTGGAGCTGTCTCATCTGCGTATAGCATGATGCTCAGCTACCTCAGCTTGTATCTGGCTTTCGTGCTGCTTTCATGTGCCCGTGTAGTGATTGTCTCTATAGTTCTATAGTATGTAAAAGAGTTTTATCATCCATTTTCATTGTGGAGTATTTTGTGTTTCCTATGTATTTTGATGTTTTATTTATTTGGTTGTACAAGAGTTATGTTATGAAATACACTCATTTTCTGTTTTATCATTTTTGAGTTTGTGTTTTTTTTTACACGTGTGTACATCAGTATTGTAAATTTTTTAACTGTTTTCCGATTAAGTGATTTGTCATTTCATTTTCCATTAATCACTTCTGTGATGTTAATGTATTAGTCAACCAGATTTTGCTCATAACCATATACAAAAATACCATGTATGACTGGCTGTGTTTTTTGTGGTTTGCTTTCCTTCTGTTGACCCTTTTTTAAATTACTGCCAGATGATTTGTACTATGTAATCTGTTGCATTGAGCTCTATCTCATCTCTTCTTTTTCAGACCTTTCCCCATGTTTGCATTTTTCCCTCAGGCTGATACGTTCTTTTTCAAGTCAGAAAAAAAATGCAGCTTTAATTTTACTTGCACCAAATATAGATTATAGAGAATAGAGCTCTTTAAAATTGAGTCTTCTATCCAAATGCAAGGTATGTCCTTTTTTCTAATGAAATTACATTGAGATACTGCTAGTAGAGTTTAGTTTTTTTATTCCGAGGCATTTAAAACTTTTTATTAGTGATTGGCATTCACTCAACTCTGTCACATGAAGATTGTTTATGTATCATTTCATATGAGCATTTCATGTAACTTTTTGAAATTTATCATTTTTATTAGCTATAATAAATTATGTTGGTAAGTAGAAATTACTGGCTTTTTGACTTAGTGTGAGAGTCTAAAGGTAGCCTAAAGGTTTTGAGGGTTTTTGGTTTGCTTTGGTTTTACTGTGACGTTTTTATACTGAGGATTGGTACTTTACTACTAGGGTGAATGCTGGCACAGTGTGGCAAACCTATGGCACTGTTGCAGTAGCAGGGTATTTGTATCATGGAACACGGCCAGCTTAATTTTGAGAAAGGACCTCATTAAATTGCTAGCCTGACCTAATAACTGATTTATGTCTCAAAATCTTAAGTGTCTGAGACAGAAAGATAATGTTCCACTAAGTCCATCAAGGAAACCTCTAACATGACATTTTTCAACCTTGGTTTTTTTCTGGCCGTCTTCCTTCCTTCCTCCTGTGAAACAGTCTCACTGTAGTTAAGGCTTCCCGAAAGTTTGGTTTCTCTGTTATAATTATGTCATATCTGAGAGTTGCTACAGATATTCTTTGGCATTCTTATCCTAATTTCTCTTGTATTGATGTTTTAATAGAGGCCTAAATTGCAAGTTGAACTCCCTCAGTTTTTGTGTAATTTTAATTATTTGCATTTAACATTTTATGAGAACATTTTCTTCCATTTAATTTGTACTTATCAGCATAGATTCATTGAAACTTTGTGGAGACAGGTTTTCATGGTATAGTTCGTGCTGGCCTGCACATGCATGTGTACGCCAGGCCTCTGGAGTACTGAGTATAGATGGGCACCGCACACCCAGCTCATAAAAACCATTTTGAATGAGACAGTATTGTTTAACATTTGGCCACTTAAACTCTGTCCATTCAGCATCCACTTAGGGTTCCTTAAACTTTTTGTCAGTTGAGCAGGACTATTTATGATTGAATCTCTAGTTTATATACTGTACAGAATATATAGAAAGAAAAGGGCGCTAGAAGTTTGATATCTTATGTTTTTCGTCTAAGCCAACAGAAGACGCATTAAGCGGTATTGTTTCCTTTTTATTTTTGTAAAATACACATAAAATCAACATTATCTTAAACTTTTGAAATTATATGCATTCATGTATTGGATTTCAGGATTTCCTCATTGAGAATGATGGTTTTTTTGTTTTTTTGTCTTTTTCCTTTTTATCAGTACCAGGGATCGAACTCACGACTGCCTGCTTGCAAGGCAGGAGCTTATGCTGCTGAGCTAAATCCCCAGCCCCGAGATTGATGTTTTTATGTATGTCACATGAAATTGATCAGTTTCCTTCTCTTCCTAATTTGTTGAATGATTTTTTTGATCACGAAAAGGCATTGAATCTGCTCATGATTTTTTATATCAATTGAAAAACTATTTGGTCTTCATTGTCTTAATGTGATTTATCAGCATATTTATTCTCCCCTTCTTGCATTCCCAAGAACAGAGCACCCTTTGCCCAGAGTGTGTAAAATTTTAATGTGATGTTGAATTTATGTTGCTAGTGTTTTATTGAATTTTTTTGTGGAGGTGAGTGCTTGTGAGTTGGGGTGCATTGTGTTACTTTGTCTGCCTTTATTACAGAGTATAACACTATAAAAAAGCTAAGTTTTCTTACCTTACATTTCTCCAAAATTTTAAGAAAAATTGGTATTGGTTGAATTCTTCAGTATGTCCGGTAAAGGGTTTTTATTTTCGTTTGGAGTGGTTTTATTTTTAGTTTTTTTCTTTTGAGATTCCGTCATGGTAGATTTTGTTTTTCTAGAAAAACTTTTATACTTTTTGTAGCTTATCCTTTTTTTCCCATTTATGGTGAAGAAGACATTTCTAGCCCACTTTTAATTTTAATTTAATTTAATTTTATTATTTATTTGTCTTTTCGAGACAAAGTCTCACTCTGCATTTCAGACTGTTCTTGGGCTCACTCTGTAGCCTGGGCTACAAAGTCTCCCAAATGCTGAGATTACAGGAATGCGCTACCACACCTGGTTTTGTTATTTTGAGACAGGGTCTTGTTAAACTGCCAGAGTAGATTTGAACTTTTGATTCCTTCTACTTCATTCTCCATGTGCTTGCACTGCACGTTTATGCCATGAGACTTGCCTTATTCTCTACCAATGTTAGATGGAGAATAACTTAGACTACTGAAGACATACACACATGAACACTCGTGATGCATTTGGTGCTGTTTCTTCAGGGTAATTGGGGATCAAACCCCGGGTCTTGTCTCCATGGTATATTGATGAATGTTTTGTTCATGTTGGGATGTTTTTTCATGGTATGGATTAAACCGAAGAAATAGGCATGATAAATAGGAATTCTGTCACTGAGCTAGATACAGCTCTGCCTCGGGTCATTTTTATCTACAGCAGTTTTATTTTGGTTTTGAGTAGTTTTATTATTCCTAATCTTAAATCTCTTTAGTCACTTAAAAAAGAGTATTTCCATTTTGGTAGTCATGTTGCCTGTCCACCCACCCACCTTTCTTTGAATTAGGAGTAAGGTTCTCAAACTGACCCAAGGGCCCCTCATTTGACTGTGTTCCCGGCCACTAAATAATCTCTTAATACTTGGTTTTATTTTATATTTATTTTTTACACATTTTTATTTTAATAAGTGAGAATTTAATTTTCATACTTATTTTAAAATCTGTTCTGTCGTTGAGTGTAGTATATTGAGTAGATTATGATTAAAACAATTTTTACATAATTTATACTTAAGGTGTTATATTACATAATAAGTTGCATATACAAATACATGTAGTATAGCTTATGTTTATATAGAGGATAACAAAAGCCAGCTTATGTTTGTTACCATTAAATTTGCTTGAACAAAACCTAGTTTTCAGGGTGTGGAGAACTGAAGTAAGTGTAACAAAAGTGTACTATTAGCTTTGAATAGATTTGAACCTCACTGTATTGAAACTCATTTTAGTCTTACTGATATTTTCCTGTTTGATTTTCTTGAATATCCTGACTTTTCAAATTCATTTTATATAATTGGCCATACTTTTAGTTTTCCATTAAATCAAACTAATGGGATTTTTTATTTATTTTTATTTATGGAATCTTTAAAAAGTGGCTCCCAATAGAATATAATAATCTGTAATTTTAAAATTTTTTTCTTTTTATCTTTTAAGTAGTAACTAGCTTGTTTTTCTCAGTTTCATAATTTTTAATACTTATTTGGGGATAATGGTCTTTTGTATACATAACCTTTCTGTATGGCACAAGTAACTAAATCAATATTTCCTTAGAGTATTATCACAAAAGATTTATTCCATATTAAATGCCTGCTTTTTAAAGGTATGTTATTTTTATTTTTATTTTTTTGAGTAGTGGAGATCAGGATCAGGCAAGCACTTTGCCCCACAGCTAAGTCTCTCTGGTCCATCTTTGATTTGGTTTATTTTAAGAGGAGGAGATTTTTTTGGAGAAAAGGAACAGCAGCTAACAATGGAGAATAGCAATAGCTGCTGAGAGACAGGACTGGTCC